CGACCATTGGGATCAGGTAATGTTGATATATGTTTAAATAAAACTGAATTTTTAAACAATATTGCAACCCCTCTGGCCCTGCATAAAAAGGTAGATTGAAATAATAGGGAAGGACATTTACATTTTAAGCGTGTCTGTTCACCATGTTTAATGTGCATCTCTCGTAGAAAAATTATGTCAGCTGATATGGAACACAAATAAGAAAACACTTTAGCACACTTTACCTGACTATTTAAGCCTCGCACATTCCAGCTTACTAAAGTAATATCGCCTCCTTGTGACGAAACTATATTATTTGCCATTTTACAGAATACACAGAATTAGCTGAAGAAACACTGCACAGATAAAATAATGGGTAAACGAAGACAAACAACAAAGAACGTTCGAGGTTACAGAAGTAACCCTTCGTTTCCCGAGGAGGGGAACGGAAGTGCTATAGTTGGATTCGATGTAGAAAGTCCACATATGGGAGGTTTCGGTTCAGAACCCGCTTGTCTGAAAGAGTATTGAACGGGCCAATGAAAGCAATGAATTGGCAGCGTAAGCTTGCGCAGGTGTGCTTCACTGCCAATTATCCCACCATATAAGCACACCTGGCGCGAGCAAACGCCATCCTTTTAAGCTAAAGAGACTTTTAAACAGCTAAGGGACAGTCATTATGGTGATGAATATAGCACTTCCGTTCCCCTCCTCAGGGAACGAAGGGTTACTTCTGTAACCTCGAACGTTCCCCTTCGGTTGGGGAACTCCAGTGCTATAGGTGGATTTGATGTAGAAAATCCAGGTATGGGAGACTATAGAAAATGCCACAATGACTGCACCTTACCAACGCCTCCGATGAAAGGGCAGTCAAGCAGGCGTGACGTACCCAAATCATGGAAGTCGCGGTCCTCCAACGTGCCCTTGGCCCTAACTTATCCCCACTTCAAAGAAAGTTTTACGGAATAGGTATATTTTTTTGGGAGTCGCTAGCGTCTAGATAATTCTAGGAAATACTACAGTATGTTGGGAAGCATGCACTCCCGGTAGGGAGGACGCTGCGGAGATCATCCACACCTAATGGGTGTGGATAGGGAAGGCAAGGGTCCACCCGAGAGGGGGGACTGAACCGTGGTGGAAAAGCATATGGGATCGCCAAAGGGGATTGCACATAGCTGGCACCTATACCCAAAGAGGCTGACCTCTGCTCAAATAAGCACATGAAATGGCCTCCACAATCCAGTGGGATAATCTTTGCTTGGTTACGGCACTGCCCTGCTGCCGACCGCCATAACAGACAAAGAGCTGCTCAGATGATCTAAAGTACTGAGTACGGTCCACATAGATGCGCAGAGCGCGAACTGGACAGAGTAAGGAAAGGGCTGGGTCTGCCTCCTCTGGGGGAACCTTGGGCACATAACCCGGGCAAGGTCTCAGTATAACAAGAGAAAAATCCAGCCTGAATTCCAGGCACGAGTCACTGACCGAAAATGCCTCCAGGTCCCCGACCCTTATAATGGAGGCCAACGCGACCAGCAGAGCTGTCTTCAGGGACAGAAATCTTAAGGATACTGATTCGAGTGACTCAAAGGGATCTAAACGCAAACTCGTGAGAACGAGGGCGAGATCCCAAGAGGGCATGAGAGGGGGGCGAGTTGGATTAATTTGCCTAGCGCCTCTGAGGAACCGGATGATGAGGTAATGCTTTCCCACGGTGCCGCCAGCTACCGCGTCATGATAAGCGGAGTTGGCGGCCACGTAAACCTTGAGAGTGGAGGGCGACAGCCTGCTCTCCAGCTTCTCTTGAAGGAAAAAGAGCACAACACTGATCTGGCCAGTTCGGGGGTCTTTTCTGCGAGAGACACCATTCAGTGAATAGACTCCACTTTAGGGCGTAGGCGCGCCTCGTGGAGGGGGCTCTAGCCTGAGTGATGGTATCAACCACCGCAGTTGGTAGGTTACCTAAGTCTTCCTCGCGTCTACTGACGACATGAGGAGGTTCCAGAGATCAGGGCGAGGGTGCTAGATGGTGCCGTGTCCCTGAGAGAGTAGGTCCTCTCTCAAAGGGATCTGCCAAGGGAGGGCCGTCGCGAGGAGGGAGAGCTCTGATATCCAGGTCCGGTTGGGCCAGAGGGGCGCAACTAGCAGAACCTGCTCATTGTCCTCCCTGACCTTGCACAATAGCTACACGAGTAGGCTCACTGGGGGAAACGCATACTTGCGTGTGCCCCGAGGCCAGCTGTGGGCCAGTGCATCCGTGCCGTGAGTGCCCTCGGTCAGGGAAACAACTGGCAATGAGTGTTATCGGGGGAAGCAAACAGATCGATCTGGGCCTCCCCGAATCGCGCCCATATCAGCTGGACAGACTCGGGGTGGAGTCTCCATTCTCCAGAGTGAATATGCTGCCGTGAGAGCGCATCGGCTGCACGGTTGAGCATACCTGGGATGTGAATGGCGTGCAGCGATTTCAGCCGCGGATGACTCCAGAGGAGCAGACGGTAGGCGAGCTGAGATACTCTCCGGAGAGGCGCTCTACCATGGTGACCGAGTCGAGCTCCATCCCGAGAAAAGAGATCCTCTGCACCGGCGCGAGTTTGCTCTTTTCTCGGTTGACCTGCAACCCCAATAGGCGAAGATGCCGGAGCACCTTGTCTCTGTGCATAGTCAATTGCTCCTGTGAGTGGGCTAAAATCAGCCAGTCGTCGAGATAATTGAGTATGTGGATGCCCGTGAGCTGAAGGGGCGCTAAGGCACCCTCCGCCAGTATGGTGAAGACCCGCAGAGTCAGAGAGAGCCCGAAGAGGAGGACCTTGTATTGCCATGCTCAACCCTCGAACGCAAACTGCAGAAACTGGCGGTGACATGGAAGAATGGAGACATGAAAATATGCGTCCTTCAGGTCTATGGCTGCAAACCAATCCTTAGGATGAACGCATCGGAGGATACGCTTCTGCGTAAGCATTCTGAATGGCAGCTTGTGAAGACAGCGGTTCAAAACATGCCGATCTAGGATTGGCCGTGACCCACCGCTCTTTTTGGGTATGATGAAGTACGGGCAGGGGGTTGACCCTGGTGAAATACACGCCCGTGAACTTGGGGGGCCATTTCGTGAACTGAATCGCGTAGCCGAGTCTGATTGCCCTGAGAGCGCTCGCTAATGGCATCATCGCTACAACCGCTGACGTACCAGTGGTGGGGCAGCGCGGAGCAAGTGTGCTGATCCGGGAAGCGCGAGGGTCCCGCGGAAGAGCTGGAGGAGAGCGATTCGCTCTGGCTCCGCACCCTGACTGCGGAGAGGGGGCTCGAGGGCTGGGAGAAAGGAGACTGTCCCCCCAGTGCCCGTGAGCCGCTGGCAGAGCATGTAGACCCTGCGAGCTGAGAAGTGGCGCGTCCCAGACTGGCAGGGCTTGAGCTGTCACATCCGGGGAAGGGAAAAAAAGCTCTTTCATTGAATTTTTGGTGGCACTGAAAAGTACCGTTGGAATATGGGCCCCGCCCTCCAGTGGGGAAAGAGCAAGTTTCCTCCTCTCCGGATGGCCTGTCTCAGGGACTCTTCGCGGTCCGTTTACCGGACTTAGCAGCGCCCTCAGCAAGGAGCAGCGGAGGTGGATGGCTCGGAGGACGGAGCGGGCTTACGGTCCCGCCAATAGATGACATTGCCCATTGCATCTGACTGCTCCTTCACCGCCTTGAACTCCTGGACGAATTCACAGACGGTGTCACCGAACAGGCCAGCCTGGGATATGGGCTAGTCAAGAAAGCGAACTTTGTCAACATCGCGCATATCAGCCAGGTTTAGCCAGAGGTGGCGTTCCTGGACCACAAGTGTGCTCATCGTCTTCCCCAGCGCACACACGGCGGACTTAGTAGTCCGGAGAGCATAGTCGGTTGCGGTGCGCAGCTCGTGTAACAAGCCTGGGTTAGACCCACCCTCGTGCAGCTCGGCCAGCGCCTGCGCTTGGTAGCGCTGGTAGGTGGCCATTACATGCAAGGTGGAAGCAGCCTGGCCCGCAGCCTTGTAAGCTCTAGCTCCGAGGGAGGCAGATAACCTACAGGCTTTGGACAGGAGATGGGGTGGACCGTGCCAAGTAGGGGCGCCACGCGGACAAAGACTGACTGCAATGGCACGCTCCACCGGCGGGATCGCCTCATACCCCCTGGCAGCTCCACCATCAAGGGTGGTGAGGGTGAAGGCAGACGCAGCACGGGCAGAGGAAGGTGCCCTCCAAGACTCCGTGAGCCTACTGTGCACCTCCGGGAAGAAGGGGACGAGAGGCTTCGAAGGCTTCGCCTTCTGGTCCTCTATGTAACACCCATCTAGTCAGTCCGGCCGCGGAGCTAGGGGATGAACCATCTCCAACCCTACGGTTTCTTAAGGTCTTAAAAACTATGTTAAAAATGTAATGCATGCTTTTTCCTTTACTGATTTAAATGCATTTTTGAGCTAGTTATCCTCTTCTGTTTGTTGATATAGCCACCATCAACTTTTACCACTGTGGATTAATACTGAATGTGTGTCATTGTTATTACTTATAGGTTAGGTTTAAGAGAAGAATAATATGCTGGTGTTTAATTTAATTTCTTTCTGTCTCGCATTAAACCCAGTCAACCAGTTACAACAGACTGGGTCATCGGTCCAATCAGCTTAGATTATCCTAGCGCTAAGGATGGGTTTGGGAACAAATGAATAGCTAAATGACTTATATGGGAGATGCTGGAACAATTAGGTCAAATAAATGCAAAAAAATAAATCCTATGTGTGCCCATTTCAAACAGTTTATCATGGACTGTTTCAAAAGTGTTTAATTTAGATATTACAATATTACATTTTTTGTAAACTTTGCCAACATTTTTTTGAAATTGTAACTGTACATTTATTTATTGATGCATTTTTTATTTATACATATTCAGCTTTTATGATAACACTATTTACAACACAAAACACGTGGTTGCCTGTTTCTTTCAAGAAAAAAAAAGGCCTGTCTGACAACCGCTATCATCATTCACTAGTTCTCAGAAATGCAACCATAACTTCCACTTGTTGCTCAAACAACACTTAGAGCTTTAAGGATGATGTGCATTGTAAAATACAGTTTTCTGCTGGTCATGATCTGTTTAAAAAGCTCCTCGTTGGCAGCCACATATCTGAAAGGTAGTAATTTGTATATGTATGTAATGTTTTATTGTTATTTTTATCAGTATTATTAATACGGTTAATCCTGTTGTGGAAAATGTTTAGCAAAAAAGTTGCATTATATGTTTTGCAAATGTATTAGTACCTGTATGTGTTTGAAAATAAAAATGTCTCAATAAATGTTTTTTTTTTAACCGTTACAGAATTAACTGGAGCTTTGGGGAAAGACACCACCATTGAGTGCACTAATAAACCTGATCAACATGGTGTGTACATGTACAGACAAGAAAAGGCTAGTAAACTGAAGGAAATTGTATACCTTTACAAAGATAACACTCTTACCTATAAAGAAATTAAAGAATCCAAAATCAGAGTAAGTACAGCATTCCCCAACCTAAATGTCACCATCCTAAATGCAACTCTTGACGACGCTGGACTTTATTGGTGTGAATATAATAAAGAAGAAATAATTACCCTTAGCAAATTCACTTTGTTATGGATAGGTAAGTTTGTCTTGCACTTTCTAAAAATAACTTTATTATAGCATCATGTTTATTGTCTGTATGAATATGCTGTATACAGTACACAGGGTTGGTGACTTGGAAGTAATACATGTTATTACACACTAAATAACATATTTAAAATACAAAGTATGAGTTACTGAATCTCATTAAAATGATATTTTGAATTGGTACTAATCATATTAGAGTTACATCTGAAAAATATTTTAGATTTAATGCAGTTTTAAATTTGATTAAAACTCAAAACAGCATTTAATCTTCAGTCTTCAAATGAAGACACACTGAATGTGGAAATTCATTTGATACAGACTTCCATTGTTTTGTTGTTATTAATTTGGAAGTCAATGGCTGACATTTGCCAACATTTCTCAACATTTCTATTTTTTGTGTTTAACATTCAACAGAATTTTTTTAACAAGTCAAGGGCAAGTAAACGATGTAAGAATTTAGATTTTTGCCTGAACTATCTGTTTTATGCAAATAACAAAGAGTTATTCCCTGACTCTGACAGTTATGTACACGCTTTCTGCTAATGCACAAACCCTTTGCAGGATATATAAATCTGCATTCATCTTAGAAAAATATTTTTCTGTACTAAAGTTATATCACATTGATATACATAATGATTGATCACACCGATGTACATATTAGATTACTTACTCCTCAATACAAAATAATAATTCAGTTTCTAAAAATGACCCTACTTACAAGTAATTGCATCATTAAATCTTTATTTTCTGTTGTTAACTGAATTATCCACAAATGTTTTCATTTAGTTGATCAGTTCACTGATGCTGAAAAAGAAAAAAAAAGCTCCAAATCTTGCACATTCCTAAGTGTACAGTACCTACTTAATATTTGACAACTTTGCAACAGTGATGGTGTGATTTTTGACACCCATCGTTTTTATACAAAAGACAACTGACTAATACATTTGACAGTGAAACATTCACCAATACTCAAAGTAATACAATGCATTAAGAGCAGATTACTTTCTTAAAAAAAACCAAAAACATTTAAAGGATGTAATTTGTAAGGAAATAAATTTTAAAAGTAACCTTCCCAACACCGTGGATACAAAGTAGATCAAATATGTTGAATGTCTACTAAGATAAAGAGTTTGAGAATTTGTTTGAGAATATGTAAAGTTAGTCTTAATTTTGTAATTCTTTATTTGCAAAAGACACAGTGCCAGACCCAAGCCCATTGTGCCCACGCCCGGAGTGTCCTGATACATATTCCTATGTGATCATCATCTTCATTTTGTGTGCTGCTGTGGGTCTACTGTGCTTTTTTGGTTTCTACTGCGTGATTCGGAAGGTAGGTATAAAATGACAGCATATGTTGTTTGCATAATAGAAAAATGAACAAATCAAATGTAAAGTGTGAGAAAAATGTGGCTTTGTTGGAAGTCATTGAGCTTCAAAAAATCAGATACCCCATGTTGTTAGACCACAAAACACTTTGCATGACATATCTGATTTGACAATGATACAAATTATATATTGTGGTACATGCTTCTAGCAATTGTGCACCACAAGTAGCAAGATTCTTGTAAACAATTCTGGCCTCATTCTTTTGTCTAAGTGCATATGTGTCTGTCATTTTGAAGCTGGAGCTTGCTTAACATTGTTAATTTTTATTGCCTTCCTTATTAAACATATTGTACATGATTCTGGTCAGGCGGGTGGCTCAGTGGTTAGTCGTCGCTTCACAGCAAGAAGGTTGCTGGTTCGAATCCTGGCTGGGCCAATTGTGTGGAGTTTGCATGTTCTCCCTGCGTCTGCATGGGTTTCCTCCGGGTACTGGTTTACTCAACAGTTCAAAGACATGCACCATAAGTGAATTGGGAAAACAAAATTGTCCGTTGTGAGAGTGTATGAATGTTTCCCAGTACTGAGTTGTGGCTGGAAAGTCATCCGCTGCGTAAAATATATGCCGGAATAACTGGCAACCACTGATAAATGAAACTGACAAGCCAAAGAAAAATGAATGAAATCTGGTTAGGCACAAAATAAAAGTGCTACATAAGCTAAATATTTTAAATATGGGAGGCTTTGACATCGGAAGAGTTTAAAATGGCCATGATAGTACATTGGTTTATGATAGTTGATTTAAAATAATAATGATAAAAAAACACACACACACACACACACATATATATATATATATATATATATATATATATATATATATAATTTATTTATTTTATTTATTTATTTATTTTCGGTTTAGTCCATTTATTAATCTGGGGTTGCCACAGTGGAATGAACCGCAAACTTTTTTACGCAGCAGATACCCTTCCAACCGCAACCCATTACTGGGAAACATCCATTCACACTCATTCACACACATACTCTACGAACAAACCCACGCGAATGCGGGAAAAACATGCAGACTCTACACAAAAATGCCGACCGACCTAGCCAAGGGTCGAACCAGCGACCTGACGCCACCTCGTCGTCCATTTACAAAGTATATCAGATCATATTTTTTCTTCTGGAGAAAGTCTTATTTGTTTTATTTTGGCTAGAATAAAAGCAGTTTTAAATGTTTTTAAAATCCATTTAAAAGTCAGAATTATTAGCCCGTTTAAGCTATATGTTTTTTGTATAGTCTACAAAAGAAACCATTGTTATACAATAACTTTCCTAATTACCCTAACCTGCCTAGTTAAGCCTTTAAATGTCACTTTAAGCTGTATAGAAGTGTCTTGATAAATATTTAGTTAAATATTATATACTTTCATCATGGCAAAGATGAATTAATTGGTTATTAGAAATTAGTTATTAAAACTATTATGTTTAGAAATGTGATGAAAAAAAATCTTTTATCCATTAAACCGAAATCGGGGGAAAAAACAAACTGGGGCTAATAATTCAGTGAGGCTAATAATTCTGACTTCCACTGTGTGTGTGTGTGTGTGTGTGTGTATGTGTGTGTACATATATATATATATATATATATATATATATATATATATATATATATATATATATATATATATAACTGGCCTAAAGTGTGGGGTCAAGTTTTTTTTAAAAACCGTGATTCTGTTCATCACGATGGCATCTATCAATTAGAAAGTAAATACTGTATAGTGTTTTCAGTAAAAAAAAATACAAATCTGAGAACCAAGTGAATGACAAATTTCTTCACAGAAATCAATCATCAGTTTATTTTAGAATTTTGTCACCTTATATTAATTATAAGGTTCTATCTGCGTTCTAAATGATTTATTGAGCTTCAAAGTTTTTGCATTCCATATAGCAAACAGTTTGTGTAACATTTGTTTTTTAAATACAATTTCTTAAAATGTAAACCCCTTATAAAAATATGTAAATAATGTAAATAAGTTGTCAATTAAAAAGAATATGTCAATAACTCAATTTTGACTAAAATGTCAAATAGAACTTTATAATTCTAAGGTGACGATTTGTTTTTGGAATGAAATACTTTGCATGTGCTGGAGTACTTTACTAAGCTTCTGCTCACCAAGGCTGCATTTATTTATTCAAAAACACAGTACAACTTGTAAAATTGTGAAATGTTATTGCAATATAAAATAACTGTTCAAATGAAGTTTAATCATAAAGTTACGAATAAATTTGATAATTTACCACAGTGATTTTAAAGATGATTTTTCTGCTTCCTTAATCCAGTCTTCAGAGACACATGATCCTTCCGAAATTACTGTAATGTAAATTTATTAATACTATTATTAATGATAATTGTAAAAAAGCAACAGTGACTAGAATAATTTCAGTTGAAACTACAAAAATAAGAAAGCAATTTTATTAAGTATTTAAAAATGTAAAAACATTTTTATTTTTTTTTACATTTAATAAATGCGGCCTTGATAAACAGAAAAAAATGACCTCAAACTTTTCACCACACATTTCTGGTAGAATGTACCGTGTTTGTGTGTGAGTGCATGCGTGTGTTTGCACAAATAAAATTTAATATATAGTATCATAAATGTTTGACATCTTTTTTTTTTTCATTTTTGTCATTCTCATGTGAAGCGGTGTATGGGGAAAAAGCAATTCACACCATCAAATCAATTCTCAGTCCCAGTCTATGAAGAGATGAATCGGAGCAACTTGTCCAATGCAAGGTCATTAATCAACCCTGATTACCACCCTATAAATAAACTTTAAAACACATGATTGATACCCATGTAATTGTTCATAAAAGACAACATTCTTATTGTTTGAATATCATACAAATTAATTCAACTTCCTGTTTTTCAGAAACATTTGAAGTAGATTAAGTGTGAAGAATAAAAAATGCAGAAGCTGAAGAGATATAATTAGCTAATGCTGTCTCACTTGTGGTTAAATGTTTACCCGAATGCTCAGTGGAAACAAAAAATGGATGACGTGTTTGTTAGTTTCAATATGATACTAAACAGGCCATTTTTAAATTATGAAATTGACACCCATAATCATATTTCACTCCTCTTTTACTTCATAAAATAATAATATTATTAATAATAATAATAATAATAATAATAATAGGGGTGGCACAGTGGGTGGTACTGTTGCCTCACAGCAAGATCGTTGATTCGAGCCTCGGCTAGGTCAATTGGCATTTCTGTGTGGAGTTTGCATGTTCTCCAAGTGTTCACGTGGGTTTCCTCAAAAGACAAAGACATGCGGTACAGGTGAATTGGCTAAGCTAAATTGTCCATAGTGTATGTGTGTGCATAAGTGTGTATGGGTGTTTCCCAGTGATAGGTTGCAGCTGGAAGGGCATCCGCTCCATAAAACATGTGCTGGATAGGTTGGCGGTTCATTCCGCTGTGGCAACACCATATTAATAAAGAGACTAAGCTGAAAAGAAAATGAATGAATATAAGCAATAATTGATGTTTATTTCTTATATAATGGATCATCTTGATTTCCATTTGTGGCCATATTGTCTGCATATCTATAACCTTTTAGACTGCATTAAAACAAGTTACATGCAGTTCTCTTGTCTTGACTAACAGTTCTGAATAGTACTTTTAGTGTGTTTTTATATTAAAAGAGCATACATGTTTTACTAATCCACCATTGTAGCTTTTTTATGCATTGTATTTTACAATATAATTTGTGCATTATGATCTTACAACTGTGCATTATGATCTTACAATTGTGCATTATGATCTTACAAATGTAAAAAATTCTACCACCCCTCCCCCCACACACCAATTGATTTTTTAAAAATAAATAATTGAATACATAGACATTTGTTTGCTAAAGTTATGATGCTTTGATTAAAAGTGTTGATTCAAATCAGTGTGTTTCTCAAATAGCATGCATGTTTTCCTAATTGACCAGGGGTGCGTTTCTCAAACAATGACATTACTTGCGACTAAACTATCATAGTATGGTGCATTGTTTGAGAAAAGAACAATGCAATGACGAGTGTTTCCCAAAAAGTTTCTCTGTCACAGATCCATTGTTTGAACCATGTTAGTTATTGCATAAAATGTCCATAATGATGCTCTAAACGAGGTCTTTTAACAACTTTTTAAAAAATAAAAAAAACATAACTTTTGTACAAATTATATTGTTTTACCTTTTCTATATTAAATGAAATAGATGTAAACAGCAGATATAGAGCCTATATGTTTCCTTTACAAATATTATTGAGAATATGCCTTATTATATTCTAAAACATAAAACCACTTGGCTAACATGTATTTTAATCTCATATATAAACAGGGCTGGCGCGTCCATAGAGGGAACCTAGGCGGCTGCCTAGGGTGGCAGAATGGAGAGGGCGGCGTCCCCAACACTACCCTCACCACCCGTGCCCTCAGTTATATATCCGCGTCTTGGGCGGCAGAATAGAGAGGGCGGCGTTCGTGACACTACCCTCACCACCCGCACCCTCAGTTATATCAACGTCTAGGGTGGCAGAATCGAGAGGGCGGCATCAGCGACACTACTTTACCACTTTACTACGTGCCCTCAGTTATATTCGCGTCTAGGGGCAAAAGAATAAAGTGGGCGGCAACACCCCCCCCCTTTTTACATTACTTTAGGGTTGAGGGCGGCGTGACCGTCCTTTGCCTAGAGCGGCAGTTCAGCTTGCTCCGGCCCTGTTTATAAATCACATAAATCGTTATTATTTGTAATTTACAGTAGGCCATTTATTAAGAAATGAAGAAAAATCATAAATAACAATAATAATAATAATAATAATTATTATTATTATTATATTTATTATTAAGTATGATCTTTATTTATTTTTTTTTTTTGTAGTCGTAAAAGTCTACTTTTACAATTTGACACATTCAAACCACTGCAGGAATGTTCAAACCAACAGGCTCATGTCAGACACATTAGAAATACATTTCTGGAAATAAATAACATACTATAAATTAATACCCTTAACATATGCTATATATTACAAGCTTTGGAAATGTAACGTAAATTCCGCTTTTAAATAATGGGTCACCTAAAGCTTTTGTCATGAGCCATGGCTGTGTTAAAAGTGGCAGAAATGTTTTCAAAGCTCACTTTGAAAGGAACGCAATTGTCAATATGAAGATCGCTAAAACTGAACTGTAAAAGTACTTTAAAGAAAATTACACCGAAGAGAGATGACTTTAATATTTTTTAAAAAAAAATATTGAAGTTTGAAAATAGAAAACAGGTATGATAACTGGACATAGAACATATCCAGTGCTTCTAACTGCAGCTCTATCAACACAATCTCACGGCAATTTGTAACTTTTTGATTTAGTGGCTAATTCTTATGATCTAATTTGTACAATTTAGTACGACTTGCTCATCCCCCAATGACTTTAAGGGTTTAAGGGTGGGGTTAGGTGCCACGCCTCCTTTTTAAAATCATAAAATTTCGTTCGACTGAACTTGTATGAAGTCATACGAATTAGCCACTAAACTGGCAAAACGTAAAATACTTAGGTTTTCTCGAGAGATCAGGCTGGCTCTATTGGTGTAGTTGCAATCATCCAAGTTTGCGACGCAGTTTGTGAACGTTCGTTGGAACGACAGATTTGGGAAACGCCAAATCAATGAACTATTTGTAACAACGCAACTTGTGATCTTAGTTGGCTAACAATGGTTTTTGGAAACGCACCCCTGTATGGCTGTTTTTTTTAATGTATTGTATTTTATTTAGTGTCTCATCACTGAATATTTTGTCAAGCTGTTATACTGTGCATAATGATCTTAGCATTGTAAAAATTTAACTAACCCAAAACAAACTAACAATAAATAAACATTTCTTTGCCATACTCTTGAATCTTTGATTAAATGTGTTAATTTAAAGCAGGGGTCACCAACATGGTGCCCCATGTGTTGCCCGCAGGCCTGTTCTAAAAATAGCTCACCATAGTGCCACTTACCAGTAAGCTTCATCTAATATATAAGAAATCATTTAAAAATGTAAATATTTGCAGAGATATATGAAAATAAAGTGTTGCACATTAATACATTAAATACAGGGTATTTCCTACCCTGTTAAATCATTGTTGATAACTTTTGTGAGAATCATTAACATGATCAGTGTCTTCACATGTATGAATATCATTAATTATTACCAAAAACATAAAGTATAATTAAAAGTAAGTTGAGCAAATTTGTTATTTGAGAAGTGTTTATCAAACTGGATAATTTTGAGCTTTTGTCTGCAAATTTCATCTTTTAAATATTTATTGGGGTTGGATAAAAATCTGTGATGTAGCACGCACCTGCAAATGAAGTGATGACGCGACGGTTTCTCATTATTATTCATAGAGATTTCTTACCCTTTGAGAAGACTGCTTCCTAATTATTCATGAGAGCACGTGCTTTATCAAGGCAAGGCTGACCTTCTAAGCTGTCAAGTATGTTACCACATTTCAAAAATTCACAGAATGATATTAGAAATAAACTGCCATGAATCATGGTTTAAAAAAAAAAAAAGAGTTATCGTGTGAAACTGAGTAAAACTTGTTTCTGTGCTTTTTTCATGTTTTATCTCACATGCACAAAATTGTGCCATTTATGTAAGTCTAAATGTTTAAGTAAATCTTAAATGTAATAGCAATTTATTGTAATACTTTTAACACTTTTTAATTCATATTGTAAAAAATGAATTGAAAAAGGCAATAAAAAAAAACTGCAGTGGCCGAGTGAGCTTATCATGTTGCAATTAAAGAAAACACATGCAATTACAAAAAATAATTTAAATAAAATTTAAATAAAAGAAAGGTTTCACAAAGAGCAACACAGTCATGCAGCACGTCCTTTTCAGGACGGCGCTCTGACTGTGCATTTCTGGATGCAGTGGTTTTCTGTCCTCGAATGATGGGCACGGGCACTGCGTTACATGCTCCATGTTAATGCGCTGCTTGTGGGCAGTTCATGTCGTCATTGTGATGCCATGACTGTTGCGCAGGAAAGATCGCGGCTAGCCTTTGCAAAAGGGCAAACCACCCCACCATCATCGGCTTTCATGGTCCGATGATGATCCAGGCCCGCTCGCCCCCTCCAGGCAGGTAAGCGCTGTCAAAACAGATCCTGAAACAGACATGTTAGCCGTGCTTTCCCGGGCTGCTTCGGTTGGAGATGGTTTATCCCCCAGCTCCGCAGCCGGACTGACTAGAGGGGCGTACCCTTCCTTCCGGAGGTGCACAGTAGGCTCATGCTGTCTTGAAGGGCACTTTTTTCTGCTTGTGCTGCGTGTCCCTCCACCCTCACCACTCTTGACGGTGGAATGGCCAGGGGGTATGTGGCGATTCCTCAGGTTGAGTGCGCGATGGCGGTCAATCCGTGCGGCGCCTCTTCTTGGCGGGGTCCCATCCAAAGCCTGTAAGTTATCTGCCTCCCTTGGAGCTAGAGCTTACAAGGCTGCGGGACAGGCTGCTTCTGCCTTGCATGCGATAGCCACCTACTTTCTTGACTTCCCCATATCCCAAGCTGGCATGTTCGGCGACACCGTCTGTGAATTCACCCAGGAATTTGAGGCGGTGAGAGAGCAGTCTAATGGGTGAGGTCACCTATCGGCAGGTCCGTAAGCCCGCTCCGCCCGCCGTACCATCCATATCTTCTCCTTGTCGAAGGCGCCCGCCTACGAGTCCGGCAACGGACCGTGAAGCGTCCCTGGGACAGTTCATCTGGAGAAGAGGGAACTTGCTCTTTCCCCGATGGAGGGCGGGGCCCCATTTCCAACGGCACTTTTTTCTGCCATGAAAACATTAATGAAAGAGCTCTTTTCCACTTCCCCAGATGTGACAGCCCAAAATCTGCCAGTCTGAGACACTGTGCTCTCTAGCTCGCAGGTTCAGTGCATTTCACCAGTGGTTCACGAGCACTGGGAGGACGGTCTCCTTTCTCCCATCCCTCGAGCCTCCCCTCCGGAGCTTGGGTGCGGAGTGAGAGCAAATCTCTCACCTCCAGCTCTTCCGCGGGACCCGCGCGCTTCCCGGATCAGCACACCCACTACGCACTGCCCCACTGCTGGTACGTCAGCGATTGTAGCAATGAGTCCATTAGCGAGAGCTCGGCCTGCCTGGTTAGCCTGGGCCAGCCCTTCGCGGTGG